AGGTGAGGAAGGGAGCACAGGCAGTAAATGTAGGTGCCGTCAGTGCCAGAACGATGTATGCATTTATGTAAACTCGTGTCCTCTAGAGGCGCTTGAGTCTGAATTTACATATAATTTCCATCAGGTGATAGACTGTTGTACACATCCAGTTTTAGCACAGTATTTAATGTTTTGCCCAAACAACCATTGTTCATAATGGGCAGTGAAGGTATCCATTTGGAATCCCATATTAATCATTTCATTCCTAATAGGGCGCAATAGATCTAGGTATGAACTTCTCAAGAGAAGAATAAATGGTTCTATCAGCAGAAACAGGCATAGTTGTGAGCTCAGATATTTGTTCAGTAATTTTCCTGTTGAATCTTGCTTAAAGAAGCCATGCAGCATTCTTAACCTCTGACACCTTAGGCACCACAGACAGACTTAGAGTGGCCTACCGGCTTGCAACACCCTTGGAGAGCCTCCTCCTGTCCCCGGGCAATTCCCAGAAGCAGTAGCCAGATGTGTCCCGGTATAGATGAGTCAGACCAGTACATATGAGCAGGCTTTCTGTTGTCTCCTGCAAAGGAACCTCAGGACTGACATTCTGGGGATCCTGAACTGGGAGAAGCTTTCACACCAGCTTTGGATGGTGTGGCAGCACAGCCATCCGTGATTGGATATAAAATAACGCATTTTGCTAGGCAGGAACATTTCTGGACCTGTATTATGGTAAGAAAGTATGTGTGTGTCCTGTCTGTGAAAGGGCAGAGTTTAATTGATTCTTCCCTACTTTCTTTATTGTAACAAAAACTCCCTTCCCAATTTCGACATTTCCGATGATAGCTTACCGATTAGAAGTGAGCCTAGAAACAGAACTACAGAAGCGAAGGCCTACATGTGCCACGGGTTTCGACTGAAGCCACAGTTCATCGTAAGCAGGAAGTAATGTGGGCGGAGAGATGAGAGAAATTGGGAAGGTCGGGTAGGGCTGTGCTGTGGGGTTTGGATATTGTACTGGGAACATGGACAGCATTCCGTGGGCCAAGGGGATGCGGTGCGGGATTTGTACAGGTTGTGAACTGAACTGCGTCTCTCATCACAGTTCGTACAGAATATAACAAAGGCACAAATCAAAGCTATTTGTGGGTTATGACATTACTAACCACAGATTCCCAGCAATTTGAGCGATCAAAAAGTGTTTCTCCCAAAGTATCTATCTCCCAGATAAAAATGGCAGATTAAATATAACAATACAATTTCACTACCTCTGAAATTTCACTAAAACATAGTAAATGGATTTTTAAATTCCACAAACCTATCAGTACACAGAGAGGAGACAGTAAAAAAAATTGAGAAGTTATCCTCAGGAAAATGATACAAAATACTGTGGGAAAAGACAAGATCTGCAATGACATACACCACAGAATCTTACAAAGAGATTCTCAAAGGGTCTAAGGTGAAAAAAAAAAAAAAGACAAAACAAGGAGTTGTCATCGATTAGAGACGAAGGAAACATGCAGTGGGAACTTTGAAGGCAGAAAAATAACATCGCTATTAAACTGGTGACATCCAAATGAAGTCTGGTTCAGGCATCGGTAGTATTTGCCATCATTTCATAGTTTCGGCAAATACGCTACACTTACGTGCAATGCTAACAAGAGAGGAGGGATCGATGAGAAGTGTGTGCAGACTATCTGCTCCAGTCCTAAGACTCTTTTGTAAAGGTAAAATTATTTAAATATTAGCTTTTACAATACCACCACTGTTGAGAGAGAGAGAGAGGACTCCAGCTTCTCTCTCACTCAGGGCGCTTGGGCAATGTTCCTGGAACTGGTCATCTCCGGACTACAGACTGATAGAAACTGGATTTCTGTGGTCCTGGGAAACAGGATGTGAGCTCGGTGTGTACACACACTTTGGCCACGCTGACCTTACAGGTAGATGGTGGAGCCGCACCGACTGCAAGGCCCTACACAGCAGACAGGGAAAGCACCAACTCAGGGACGAAGATGGGTCTACATCAGGCTCCTCCCGCAGACACGGCTAAGAGAAATCGCATTTTGCTCTGAACCTCAAATTCCACTTGGTGATATTTGAGAAAGTAATGGGCTCTTTCTTGAATATTACTCTATTCCTGCCATTTTGCTGCAATCAGACCAATAAAGAGGTCTATGTCAATTTTTTGAGATTTTCTATACCAAATTGTGTCATCTGTGATCTTGTTTTCTTCCTCCTCAAACTGCACGCCTTCAGTTTTCTTTCTCTTGTCATGGTGACTTGACATAAGCCGCTTAAAGGACGGGAGATTTGTATTGGCTTAGTGGAGATACAGCCCGTCATCGCAGGGTCATGGCACCTGTAGCAGTTTGTCAATGAGGCAGGAGCATGGCCAGCTAACAGGAAGCAGAAAGATGGAGAACTGGCCCCTCCAACCCCCACGCACAAACCCAAGGCTTCTCTCAGTGGCACCATTTCCTTGTTTGAACCTGACTTGTCCACATCTTTGTTTTGGCACTTGCTTATATTTGAGACAGGCCTGGGACACAGGCACTGTGTGCCTGAGGATGAACTCCTGATCCTCTGCTCCTACTGGGACTGACATGCACCCCCACGCCTGGCTCTTGTCCCAGCTTCAGATACCCCATTCTCCTCTCCTCGACAAACATTTCCTGCTCCATCTTTTCCTCTGCCTCTTCACTCCAATACTGATCATTGGCGGTGGGAAGTAACCATCCCATGGCTGCCTCTTAGGCTGAGAATGCCCTTGATCCTGTGTGTCATCTCACTCTGGTCTCTTTTGTCAGCACCCTGGACTTCCACACACCCTCTAAAGCAACACATTAAGGTTTGCTTACAGCCTTCTACATTCCTCCTGCTAACCATTGTCAAAGTCAAGTTCATTACAATCATGGCCACTGCTCTGCATTGGATTTTTACTTTGGCTATTTCTCTTGTTGCTGTAAAGTAGTAAAATAACCAACAGAAGAAATTTCAGGAAGAAAGGGCTTATTTTAGCGACGCAGTTGTTACAGCAGGGAAGGCACTGTAGTCTCGTTGTTTAGTGAGTTAAATGTGTAAATATGAGTTCAAACACATTGTCCCCAAATTCGTATGCTACAGCTTTGGATATTGGCACCTCGGCACAGAGCTGTATTTGGAAACAAGATCTATAAGGTAATTAAGTTGAAATTAGGTTGTAGAATAGACCCAAACCCAATATGGTCATGTTTTAAGAGAAGGGAAATCTAGACACAAGCAAAGAGGGAAAGAAATGTGAAGATACAGAAAAAACAGAGTTACTTACAAGTCAAGGAGAGAGGGAGAGAGTGTTGGGGCAGATCATTTCTTATAGTCCTTAGGCACAAATCAACCCTGCTAACACAATGGTCTTCGATGCCAAGCCTCTGTAGGTCCCAGGAAGCTGGTCCCACGAGGAGCCGTGGCAGGTGAGAGACAGAGACAGATAGGCAAGCCATCTGCAGAGAGGGTTTGGGTATAGTTTATTCCGTGTTTATGGGAGGAAAGGGAAGGGGGAAGAGAGAGAGAGAAGGGGAGGGTAGAGAGAGAAACAGAGAGGAGAGGAGAGGGGAGGAAAGGAGAGGAGAGGAGAGGAGAGGAGAGGAGAGGAGAGGAGAGGAGAGAAGGAATCATGGCAGCAGCCACCTCTTCCCAAGAGAGACAGGGGCAGAGATAGTGTAGGCTGGAAGCAGAAGGAAGATCTGCTTGCCTTGGCAGAAAGGGGGGGGATGTCTTTTAAAGGGACAGGACAGACCATTACATTCCCATCTCTTTTTTATAATAAAAAGGTGGGACATTAGGCACAACAGGTTAAAGGAATTGGGATGGCAGATCTTCAGCACAGACTCCTGCTTATTTGTGGGCATTGTCTTAGGGGGATCTTGAGAAAGCTGGGTGCTGGTCACATCCTGGCGTAGCTGGTGTCTTTGCTTCTGTCTACTGTTTGCGGTATGGAAATGTCCAGTGTCTCTTAGACCTGTTTAGGACAAATTCTTCAATTTGGCTCCCTGGAACTCACAAGAACTCTTTGGGTTTGTGAAAACAGAAGTATAAAAAGCAGCATATTTACACAAGAATGACTGTGACAGATATTTTTGCATAATGAAAAGTATCATCAGAGGAATCTAAAATGGCTGAAAGACACTTAAGGAAATGCTTGACATTCTTAGTCATCAGAGAAATGCAAATCAAAACAACTCTGAGATCCCATCTTACACCTGAAAGAATGGCCAGGATCAAAAACACTGCTGGCAACTTATACTGGAAAGGTTGTGGGGTAAAGGGAACACTACTCCATTGCTAGTGGGAATGCAAGCTGGTACAGCCCCTTTGATGTCAGTGTGGTGATTTCTCAGAAAATTAGGAAGCAACCTTCTTCAAGACCCAGTAATACCACTTTTGGGTATAAATCCAAAGGATGTTCAGTTGTGCCAAAAGGACTGTTTGTCATAGCCAGAACCTGGAAACAACTTAAATGCCCCCTCTACCGAAGAATGGATAAGGAAAATGTGATACATTTACACAATGGAGTACTACACAGTAGAAAAAAATAATGACATCTTGAATTTTGCAGGCAAATGAATGGAGCTAGAAAACATCATGTTGAGTGAGGTAACCCAGACACAGAAAGACAATTATCACATGTACTTACTCATAAGTGGTTTTTAAACATAAAGCAAAGAAAACCAGCCTACAGACCACAATCCCAGAGAACCTAGACAACAATGAGGACCCTTAAGAGAGATATACATGGATCTAATCTACATGGGAAGTAGAAAAAGACAAGATCTCCTGAGTAAATTGGGGGCATGGAGACTTTGGGAGAGGGCTAAAGGGGAGGGAAGAGGCAGGGAGGGTAGCAGAGAAAAATATAGAGCTCTATAAAAATAAATAAGATTTTTCAAAAATTTACACTTGTGGGCTGGAGAGATGGCTCAGTGGTTAAGAGCTTTGCTTGTTCTTCCAAAGGTCCAGAGTTCATTTCCCGGCAACCATATGGTGGCTCACAACCATCTGGAATGAGACTTGGTGCCCGCTTCTGGCCTGCAGGGATACATACAGGCAGAACACCAAATACATAATAAATAAATTAAAATAAAAAAATTTACACTTGTAAAAGGACAGAAAGAAGAAAAACTGCTTGTAGTAGAAGCTTAACAGTAGAACTGACAATAACAGAGAACAGCTTAATATATTTTAAAACAGGGTATATTACAAAAATATATAGTATTTTTGTAAGAGACTTAAAAGTACATACCAATTTAAAGCATGAGACTTATTGCTTTGTTAGTCTGGAATAGGATATAATGGGCAGACAATTATAACATTTAACAGTAAACATAGGTGTATTTAGGTTACATGTATGCACAAACACAGCGTGAACAGGAATTAGGTGAAGTAAATGCCTTTGGTGGGCCCTAACAAAGGCATGTACTGTGCAAAACACACATGTAACAGAGTCAGCACTGGGGCACCAGGCAAGGAATACCTCGGTAAAGATGGCAGAACTGGGTCACCTGACCTGGCCCTCAGTTAAGATGGCAGTCAAAATGGTGGCAGTCACATGTTGGATGGAGAAGCCATGTTTTTTGAGCCACAGTTATATGATATATTATATATATATATATATATATATATATATATATATATAAATAATATTTATATTCTAAATATAATAATAAGAGAAACTGTTATGCCCAAATCCGTGAGTCCCCACAAAAGCCAACTGCGGAGACTGAGTCCCTTATATAAAAACAAAGAGCCTTTATTTTATACAAGTTTGCAAACTCAGTCTCCCCGCCTGTCCAAAGTATTGGAATATCCGGAGAGCCCTGAGCTCAATTAGAATAGGGTTTTATAGTAGTAAAGGTGGAGGGTGAGGGTGTTCTGAGGTTTTAAGACCCCTGATTGGCTGACATCGTCTAGGGATGTCCTGGTGACTGCGTGTTTCTATCTACAGTGGTTGGAATGCCAGAATTCCCTTTGAATGGTCTGTTCTTGGGTGGGGGTCAGGTGATCTCAGCTTGTGGTTCCTCCTGCAGGCTGGCATTGTCTCAGGGTAAACAATTAAGGTCACAGCCTCCATTGAAATTCGGTGGCCTCAGTCCCAGGTGATAATGTTTGGAGGAAGAAAAGAACTTCCTTTGGGTGACCTGCCCAGACTTAGATTATCCTGGCTGGCCCTCACAGGACCTAGAGGTGTGATCTGCCCTATTACCCAGCTGCTACACCACAAGCCGGTGGGGAGCAAAGGTCGATTTCCACGGGACCAGCAGTAGCAGTGGCAGGAAAAGAATAGGAGGAATGAGAGCGAGAGGAAAAGAGCATTTTCAGATGGGTGGGGAAGGGGCTGCCCAGTGAAAGGAAAAGCAGAGCTTGCAGGACACGAGCAGAGTGTTTCCAGGCAGGTGCCTGATAGTTTGAGGGTTTATTCTCCATAGCTAAAAACATGAAAACAGCCCTTAATGAAATGGAAAAATCTGATAAACGGCACTTGATATGGTCCGGACCGGGTCTTAATTTGGGGCAGAGGAACAGTTTATGTATTTCCACAGGATACAGAGCTCCTGATCTGGGTCCCTGAACGTCTGGTGCGGACCATGGATTCCTCTGTTCAGAAACCTGAGGACGAGGCGAGATCAAGAGATCCCACGGACACGGCGGCGGAATTGGCAGATTCCTGAGAGATGATCCAGCGCCTGATTTTACCCCTTTCCCAGCTTTCTGTCCTGCTCTGCCTTGATCTGTCCATTTCAGCCAAGGCTGCTTGACCCCCTGAGGGGAAAAGAGCTACTTCCCCTGCCTTGTTTGCAATGTTGAATGCTCAAGGCTAAAACCTTGCCAGATAGACAAAATTACCATAACAAATAATTTAATGTAATTAATCTTTACAACTGGGTATGGATTTTGACCTCTGCTGGTCGCAGGTTAAGATTTTGCTGCTTTTTCTCGGACCCCGGAATACAAAATTGCTAATTGGCTCTAATTTAATTTAACTAGTCATACCAGGGGTCCCATTTGCAGATGCTGTAGCCCTACTCAAGGGCTCTATTCTGAGTCAACGTTTCAGATATTATGCAAGCACTGTCTCTTCCAGGAATGCTTATATGTACGTATGCTGGAGCGTCTTCACCTGGCCAATGGCTTCAGGTCTGCCATGGCCTGGCCCTAGGAGGCGTTCGCCTTGGAGTATCTTTCAGCATAAAACCAGCTGAACGTGTTGGAGGATGGCATTAACCAGAGACAGGTCTGGATCACTGGACAGGCTTTTCCAATCTAAGACATGGGATACGTCTGGACCTGAGGCGTCATCCTGACGACGGATCCGGATTTGTCCTGGCTGTTTCCCGATGACGCCTAAGGCAGGTTTTGTCATCATATTTTATATATATTTAAAGGGAGACTTGTAGGTACCAAAAGTCTTTTTCCCTTCTCCTGGCGATTAGCAGGGCCGTGTGACCTCCGGCTCCCTGGAGATTCTGCACTAGCACTGACTTGAGGGGTTAGCTTAGGAAGAATCTGGCTCTCTTTGTTATGGTGATTCCACCTGTATTCAAGGTTTTAGCAGTGGGCTCCACATGCCTGACCTCCCCCAGCTGATTCTGCCTGAGGCGCCGGGGCCTTTATTCTCCTTCCTGCTTCTGTTGGGAGGAGGCCTTGCCCTTTTTGATCCCGCTTGCCCATTTCTATAAATACCCAACTTGAATTTAATAAAATTGCCATTTACTCTTGGTAAATGAACAAGGTCCTTTTTTATATATGTCTCTTTAAACCCTCAGGACAGTCGTCCATTCTTATGGACCCGAATTTGGGAAGGCGCGCGCCTGGATCGGATATGGATATCCACAAAAAAATACAGGGTCTTACAGTAGCCCTCCTATACACAAAAGATAAAGAAGCCGAGAGGGAAATCAGAGAAACATCACCTCTCACAATAGACACAAATAGCATAAAGTATCTTGGGGTAACACTAACCAAAGAAGTGAAAGACCTATTTGACAAGAACTTTAAGTCTTTAAAGAAAGAAATTCCACATGTCCTCAGCTGGCCTACCCGTGGGTGGGAGGGAATGTAGATAAAGCCTGGCCGAGCCACGCAGCACCAATGTAACGGTTTAGATAAAATAACGCAGTTCCCCAAAGGGTACAGTGGGCCACGAGGGGCAGACGGGTCCTACGAGGAGCCACGAGGAGCCGTGGCAGGTGAGAAACAGAGACAGATAGGTATATCATGCAGAGTAAGTTTGGATATAGTTTATTCAGTAAAGGGAGAGGGGGAGAGAAAGAGAAAAAGAAAGAGAAGGAAGAAAGAGGGGAGGAGGAGAAAAGGCCTGAGCCACCTCTTCCAAAGAGAGACAGGGCAAAGAGAGAGCACAGGCTGGAAGCAAAAGGAAGGGAAGGAAGATCCGCTTGCCTTGGCAGAAGGGGGTAGTGGGCAGGGCTTGTCTCTTAAAGGGACAGGACAGTCCCTTTACACTTGGGATGGCTAGCACCGGGTGATGGTAATGACAGCAGTCACCACACATGAGGAACTGTATCAAAGAATCTCAGCCTTAGGAAGGTTGAGAACCACTGCTCTAAAACAAGAAAAGCAAATTTCTGGAGCTTAAGTCACCCAGTCCGTAGGACATTGTTTTAGAAATTCTAACAACGAATACGTGCAAAAGAGAATACTAGATCAATAAGGACAGGAAGAGTTGTCATTTTGTTTATTGATACACAATAAACACCTACTACGCTATCCAGCAGATAGTAGATCTTCAATAAATTTTGTCTAAAGGAACTTAAAAAGCAAATTATTATATTGCTCCTTGGACAAATCTATTAAGTAGCAACAATGCAATCCCCCCCGCAATAAGCCCCTAAAGCTGAACTCCTGATGTCTTACCACATGCTGTGATGTAATGGATCTGTTGCTGCACCCCAAATGAACAAAATCCCCTATGATGACTCACATCCTGGAGCAATTTCCTGAAAAAAAGAAAAGACAAAAAGTTTTACTGTGATATAGTAAATTATAATATACTCACCCAAAGGAACATACCAGATTTGCCAACCTGGACTGAAATAGAATGTAGAAATAAAGTGACCACTCCAGGAACATAGAAATATAAAGTTGTAAGCCCAAACACATTTTGGGAGGAAAATAAATAAATAAAATTTAACAACCACTGTTAACCTTTAACAAACACTTTCTGCCTTAAGAGCAGGCATCCTGGCAGCCATGTGGACAGAGGTAAACTTTTAACAACTATCTCCCACCTCCCAGCTTCCCAGCCAGGCAGGTCCCGCAGACAAAGGTTAGCGTCTAACTGTTGTCTCTATGGGACCCTCTGCTTGTTTCCCTTAATTTTTGACTCTCCCCTATGTGACTCTATTGTCTGCCTTGCATTCTTTCAGGAACAGTGGAAAGTGCCTGTGTCAGCCACAGGCTTTCGCAAACACGCTAAGTTAACAGTCTAATGTCCTTCAACCAAAAGTTGTAAGACTTAAAATGCAATGTGACTGTAAGCCTGACCTCAGGGATGTGAAAGCTCTGGGCCCACACCTGGTGCTTGATTTTACTGTAAGAGGAGGCCCAGCTCCAACCCTCATTGCCACAGCTACAGAAACCCGTTCTCTGGCTGTGGTCACAGCTGTAGCTGAGAAGCTTTGTGTGCCCATTGTGACTTTTTTCTTTCTTTTTCCGCAATAAAGCTTGCATTTGGTGGTCTGTTCTCTGCCCCCACCATTGCACCACAACCCCTGGACCCAACAGAATGGCACAAACACAAGGCTTGTCTTCTCTGTTTCTGCAAGTGTTTGGTTGGCTGATGTCATCAAAGGCAGCAAGAACAGCCTGGATCAGTAATTTAAAATAGGAGATCATTAAGAACTTCCCTGTTCTTACTAAAGCATTTCTAATGAGTACAGGAAAAAGACTGATTAAATTTCCCTAGGACTCATTCAGTTATAGATTCATAGCACATCTTCAGCCCATCTCCACGTCCTAATGTTGCCGTCATCACGATCAATCAGTATTTAATTTGGTGACCTGAAATGCTAATCAAAGGCCAACAACATATAAGAAAAAGCAATAAAAACATATATTATGCTTTTTAGCTACAAATACCCTTTTCTTTTTTTGTGGAGCTGGAGAGGGGAGAGGAGGAGACAGACACAATCTGAGGGCGAATCGTGAAGGCCACCAGCACATCTCTTGACAAAGAATACACTTTTAAACTCTACAGTTGTGGGTAGGATTAAATGGGAGAAAGGAAGCTCGGGGAGCTGGGGTGTGGCTTGAGATAATGGATTAAGGACCTTGACAATTGTTGTGGGAGTAACTTCTGCTGCCTCAACCAATAGTCGCTGAAATACGAGCCCACAGTGCAGCAGGGAGCGACTTCCGCTCCGTCAGTCAATAGCTGCTGAAATACCAGCCCACTGGGGCGTGGTATATTTCTCTTTTAAAAAGAGAAGCAGATCCGGATCAGGCTCTCTTGGTTCCGGCTCTTGGTTCCGGTGCTTGCTCCCGGCTCCTGCCCCAGGCTCCTGCTCCCGGCTCCTAGGCTCCCTTCCTGACAGTTTATGGGGTATGTAAGTTTTATCCCCCAAAATAAATAACCCCGTAAAACATAACTGGTGTGGGATTGATTCGCCGATAATTGATGCCCAACGTTTGGTTTAAGAACCGCCCCATTCCCCCACCCCCAGCTCGGCCTCCCAGGATACACAGGTCCGGACAGTCTCTGCCGGCTTACTTTGCCCTGTTCGGCACGGATTTTTAAATTTTTCCTTGCAACATGAGTCAAAGAGCTCACAGCGCAAGCTCCCTTTGAAGTTCCAGCAAGCTGTTTGAAACCCCTGCCACCCGCCATAACTGATTACCCTGAGATTAAGAGTCTCATGCTCTACCGACTGAGCTAGCCGGGCCTTGTTTATTGCCTTGTTTGTTGGCCACTAGAAGCTCTCTGACCTTTTGTGATCTGTGGATTTAACCTCTGGATTTGAGTGTATATATTCTAGAGTTTACTTCCTGAATCAACACCACTGCCACGTGGATTCAGGTGCGCCCCACCTCCTACTGGCAGGCAACGGTCATTACAGGTAAGATTTTTCTTTTCGGTTGAAAATAAATACATACATACATACATACAAGTACAATTTCCTTTGATTGAAAATGTCAGAAAAAATATTACTATCCAAAAGTTCAATGGTTTTTTTAATTGCGCTATGGAGGATATTCTGAAGGATGTCTCAGATATTCCTCTTACTTTGTTATTCCTGGGATCTGTTGCTTTTCTGGTGTTTGGCTATTTTATAAGAAAGATACAGTCCTTACAGACTGAATCTACAATGCTGAGGGCAGAGATTAAAACCTTAAGAACAATTCAGACTGATACCAACCTCCTCAAAAAAGAGTTTGGAGATTTCAAGGAAGAAACTAGATCAGAGTTTGGAGATTTCAAGGAGGAAACTAGATCAGAGTTTGGAGTTTTCAAGGAGGAAACTAGATCAGAGTTTGGAGTTTTCAAGCAGGAGACTAGATCAGAGTTTGGAGTTTTCAAGCAGGAGACTAGATCAGAGTTTGGAGTTCTCAAGGAGGAGACTAGATCTTTGTTTGATATGACTCGGTCGACTGACCAAAATATCAAGAAGGTACAGTCTGATATTGCTTCTTTAGAAGGGAGCTTCACTGCTCTGGAGGAGGGGACAACCAAAATGACTCATACATAACCTCCAGTCCATGACTGTAAGTGCTGAAACATTAGCTGAGAGGATTATAACCATTGAATGTGAAAATCGGACTTTATCAAAAGGGTATGATAGATTAATTGACAGGATTTCCATACAAGAAGGCACAGTACATGTCATGAGGATTATGTCCAAGGAGGATATCGTATCTCTAACAGACAAGCTCCACGCCTTGGAATTATCAATGAAGGCGATTGTGTCCAAGGAGGAAATAGTGTCTCTGACGGACAAGCTCCATGCCTTAGAATCGTTAATGAAGGCTTTGGAGCATAATAATGGACAGGAGATTCAGGACTTACAGAAGGCAATGGTGAGCAGATTTAATAAGATTGAGGAAATCATAGACTCTGATGAACAGGAGCAAAATGTAGAAAGGCAACCTTCACCTCAAAAAACTCTCAGTCTACATAGAGTTATACCTGCCTTTCCAGTAATAACATCAGAAAAGATAACTGGCTCCAAAACCCCTAAGGTCATTAAAGAACATACATGGGAGCCTATACGTATGAATGATCTGAAAGAATTTAAACAAGCAATTGTGAATTATGGACTACATTCATCCTTTGTTAGGGAGATGTTAAAATCCTGGGCTCTGAGCAACAGGGCCACTCCTCAAGATTGGAACCAGCTCACATCAGCTGTCCTCGAGAATGGACCTTTATGGCATTTCAAATGCCTATTCAAACAAGAGGCCAGACTTTTACAACAACAAGATCAGCAAAAGGAATTGAGGTTTCTCTAGATCAAATTCTAGGGGAAGGACCTTACTCTGATCCTCAGGAACAAGCTCTTTATGATGAAAACATTTTATCCATATGTGCTACAGCAGCTCTAAGGGCCTGGGACAGGGTTCAAGACTCAGGTCAGAGAGTAGAATCGTATGTCAGGGTCAAACAGGGTCAGAGAGAACCCTTTAGTGACTTTTTGCAACGACTAACTAAGGCTGTACAAATAGGGATACCTGATCCAGAAGCAAGAAATATAGTAATTGAGTCTTTGGCATATGAGAATGCCAATGTAGAATGCAAAAGGATCCTGGGGCCTTTAAAGCTCAGATCAGCGCCTTTGGATGAATGGGTTTTACATACAATGAATGTTGATACATTTGATTATGGCAATGAAACATGGGTACAAGAAGCAATTTCCAAAGGTAAAAGGAGACATCAGATTACAAAATGCTTTCATTGTGGCAAAATGGGACACATGAAAAGGGACTGCAGACAATGGAATTCCAGGAATAATGCCTCTTCTAGGAATAACAGGAATAGGAGGACTCAGCCTTCAGGTTTATGTAGGAGATGTGGAAAGGGCAGGCATTGGACGAATGAGTGTAGGTCAACAAGAGATAAACAGGGCAACCCGTTGCCATCGGGAAACTCAATAGGGGGCCTCTCGAAGGCCCCCATGGCAAATGTTGTCCAGTCATTTCCGATCACTGCAGAGAACATGCCTCTTCAGGGAAATTAGAATGCCCCATGCCTGCTGTTAAAAGCAATAACGGCCTGAAGGATGAGTTAAATGTGGTGAATGAATCAAGAAATCTAAGAGAACAAAGTAAATGAATATTCTGGCAGACTTCTATAAATGAACAAAGACCACAGCTAAGAGTATGTGTAAATGGCAAACTTATTACTGGGTTACTGGACACAGGTGCGGATGTAAGTATCATTACACCAGAGTCTTGGCATCTGCATTGGCCTCTTCAGGAGGTAGATATTCAGTTCTTAGGAATTGGAACCCTATCTCGAGTAAGACAAAGCACGAAATGGGTCAATTGTATAGGTCCAGACGGACAAATAGGAAAACTAAGGCCATATGTAGCAAATATTGCAGTGAATTTATGGGGCCGTGACCTATTGCAGCAATGGAACACCCAAATTAACATTCCTGCTGCTTCCAGAGCCTATATTTCTGAGGACAATATTACAAGATATTACAGATGGCAGAAACCAGCCATTAGAGCTATACAAGAACACAACACAATTGATGGCTCTTCAGAGGTACCAACAGCCATGCCTCTACAATGGTTGACTGAGAAACCAATATGGACTAAACAGTGGCCTTTAGCTGAGGAAAAGTTACAGGCTTTAGAACAGCTGGTACAAGAGCAATTAGATGCTGGACATATAGAAGAATCTACCAGCCCTTGGAACTCTCCTGTGTTTGTTGTTAAGAAAAAATCTGGTAAATGGAGAATGGTGACAGATCTTAGAGCTATCAACAAGGTTATTCAA